AAGACAGCAAAATAATATAGGCTGAAATCGTAGATCATAAAATAAAACCATCACACAATTTTTCAATTGAGCATTATAAAATTTTGAACGTGCAGAGAGTGGAGAATTAATGGTCAAACACCACACACCTGTCAATTGTCATCATCAGTACAAAACTCACTAGACAAAGGGGTAAAATAGACACTCAACTCTCCATCTAGAAAGAAAAAAGGAAAAAGAAAAAAAGAAAAAACCCAAAAACAGAAATTTTAAAATTAACCTTTCACCAACCTTCATGTAACTTTCCACATTTGCCCCTGTTCGTGGACTCCAGTAAACGAAACCCTACCAAAGCCCAAATGCCCAACCTCACACAGCTCCAACCAAACGTCCTCCGCCCTAATTTCAGCCCCAAAATCCCCATCCATCGCGCCACCTCCGATGGCCGCCGCTACGATGTCCGACGCCGCATTCGCCGCCGCCGCCGCCGCCGCCTTCCCCGAATTCCCTTCGAGCACCCTCCGCCGACGGCTCCCCCCCCTCCGCCCGGCGATGCATCTGCGCGCCACCGCCCACGGCAGCTTGAGGAAGGCCAGCGCCAGGATGCTCACCACCCCGCAGGGGCAGCAGCACAGCGCCACGCAGTCGGCGATAACCCCCGCCGTGCACGACCCGCACGACCTCCCCGTGCACGAAGCCGGATCTCCGCGGCCGTACTCCTCCGCCGCCGCGCAGCGGCGTCGGCTCCCGACGGCGGATCCTGATGATGTTGAAGCCGGCGGCGCGCTCCAATCCTCCATCCCGATCTCCTAATTCCGCCGCTCGATCCAATTTTCAGCTTCCCCCAAATTCAAATCGCTACGAAAAATTTCCCGATCTGCGTGAAGAATGTGCGAGTGAGAAAATAATTCGCGGAGGCTGTGGGCTTATAGAGAGAGAATTTAAGGAAACTGGTGCGGTGTTGTTAAGTATTTGGTTTTTAACGTACAGAAAAAAATGTGGTGTTTTCTCCATGCAATTTATTCTGGTAATTCCAAAAGAGGTGCAGAGGTCTATGTATTTAGTGTCGCGAGGTTTTGAAAGTTTTGCTGAAAAAAAGGAGGTGGGGGAAGGAAGGCGAGAGCTCAAGCGCGCTTCTAGCGCGTGTTCGTACGCGCCGGTAAATTTTCACCGTTCTACGGACTGAGGAGACGGTACAGGCTGAGGCACTCAGCTGGCAGTCCCGTTTAATTTGAACTTTTTAATTAGCTTCCAATTATATGATAATAAATAGTACTATATAGAAACTCGATGTTAATTCAAATGGCAATAAAATATATATAATGAAAATTAAGATTTTATTATATGGTCTAATATTCCATCTTATGCTTCCCGTGGACTGTGGACTGTAAGTCACGTGTAGATACAAATATGGCACTTGTCATATAAAAAAATGGTAACGTTGATGAATTTAAAGAATGAACATTCAACATTAGTGATTATATATATATATATATATATATATATATATATATATTTATTATTCTTCTAATTAAGTATACTGTACACTTCAATAAGTTCGTCATGATCATATCAGCATGTGATTAATTACTGCAGCAATATATTATTAGTATTGTCACTTAATAATGGTGAAGATTTATTATATTTTAAACGAATAATGGTATTTTAATGTAATATTTTAAAATAAACAAGATTAACATATTGTCACTTAATAATGGTGAAGGTTTATTATATTTTTCATGTTAATACTATTTTAACATAACAGAAAGATTAACATAATGTGGTGCAATATTATTAAGAGTTGTTGATTCCAAATTTTTATTTAGGAGTAAAACGACATAATCTTGTTATGTGTGCAGGATGATGGTCTTTTTATCGTACTCTCTCCATTTACAAATAATATAATAAGTGATTTTACTAAAAAAAATATGAGATTAATTAATAATAATCCATGGTTCGCCTAATGTTATTAATCTATTCCATAATAATTAGTCTATTTCTTCCCATATTATAATTATTTTCTATAATTCTTATACTGTGATTATCCTCTTTTCTCATACTACATAACCGGATTAACAGCCCAAAAAGCGACAAATTAAATAATTAGAAAAAAATATGTTACTGCAAAAAAAATTGTTATATTCCAACGAAAAATCCTATATGAATATATTTCAATGGAAATTTCAATTGATATTCCAATGGTATAACTTCCGTTGGAATGATTCCAACGGAGATTTCAACGAAAATGTATTCCGTTGAAATGTGTTTTTCATTGGAATTTTGGATGGAATTTGATTATTCCATCAGCTACATTGCCAACGGCTTTTTACCGTTAGAATTTTTATTTTCACCCCCATTGAAAAATATACCGTTGTAATCGTCAAAATCCAACAAAAATTCCAATGAAAAACTCATTCCAACGAAAATAGTAGCATTAAAATATCCATTGGAATTTTGTTGAAATATATTTTTGTTAGAGTTTCATCATTTTCTTGTTG